CTTAAGGGCCCTTACCCCACCATCCTCATCCTCACCATCGTCATCTTCATCCTTACGGTCCTCATCTTCATCATCTTCATCCTCAGGATCCTCATCTTCCTCATCCTCATCTTCCTCATCCTCACCATCCTCATCCTTATGGTCCTTGGTCCCACCATCCTCATCCTCACCATCCTCATCCTCTTCCTTATGGGCCCCATCTTCATCATCTTCATCCTCACCGTCTTCATCCTCGTGGTCCTCAGGATCCTCAGCCTCATCTTCTTCATCTTCATCCTCCTCATCCTCACCCTCCTCATCCTCACCATCCTCATCCTTACGGTCCTTGGTCCCACCATCTTCATCCTCACCATCTTCATCCTCACCATCTTCATCCTCAGGATCCTCAGCCTCATCTTTCTTGTCCTCTTCCTTATGGGCCCCATCTTCATCTTCCTCATCCTCACCCTCCTCATCCTCGTGGTCTTCAGGATCCTCAGCCTCATCTTCTTCATCCTTAAGGTCCTTAACCCACCATCTCCATCCTCACCATCCTCATCCTTATGGTCCCTGGTCCCACCACCTTCATCCTCAGTGTCCTCACCATCCTCATCCTCCTCCTTATGATCCTCATCTTCGCCATCTTCATCCTCACCCTCCTCATCCTCGAGATCCTCAGGATCCTCAGCCTCATTGTCTTCATCCTCAAGGTCCTCGGCTCCACCATCCTCATCCTCCTCATGGTCCTCATCTTCATCCTCAGGATCCTCATCCTCCTCATCCTCACCATCCTCATCCTCATGGTCCTCAGGATCCTCAGCCTCATCTTCTTCATCCTCATCCTCCTCATCCTCACCCATCTCATCCTTATGGTCCTTGGTCCCACCATCCTCATCCTCACCATCATCATCCTCTTCCTTATGGGCCCCATCTTCATCATCTTCATCCTCTCCATCCTCATCCTCGTGGTCCTCAGGATCCTCAGCCTCATCTTCCTCATCCTCACTCTCCTCATCCTCACCATCATCATCCTCAGGATCCTCAGCCCCTCCATCTTCACCTTCACCATCCCCATC